CATGTTCATGATTGATTTGTTAAGTCTTGGCTCCTTCTTATACCCTTCTAGGACTACTTGGACATGGGCACTTAGAGCTACTATACCACAGTAGGCCAAGACCTGGATTCTTCTTAGGAATTTTTTTTAAGGTCCATGTCTAAATCTGATATAAGAATAATAAAAGACATGCAATACTAGGACTTACATCTTACTAATTTTTGAGACTAATAAATTTCTCACCTATAACACTTAAATGCTTCTCCTTATTTAATAGCTATTTTTATATTAAAAAAAAACTGTTTTCTGTCTCTCAAAAAGTAAATAAATGTTAAAAGAAATATATTTTTAAAAAAAACCTTTATTTTTGAGAGAGAGAGAGCAGGGAAGGAGCAGAGAGAGAGGGAGAGAGAGAATCCCAAGCAGGCACTGTGCCGTCAGCACAGAGTCTGAGGCAGGGCTCAATCTCCCCAAAATATGAAATCACAACCTGAGCTGCTGGCAAGAGTTGGGTGCTTAACCAACTGAACCACCCAGGTGCCCCTTTAATTTTCTTTTTAATTGTTTTTTTTTTTTTTTTTTTTGAGAGAGTGAGAGAGCATGTGATGAGTAGGGAAGAGGGGCAGAGGGAGAGAGAGAGAATCCCAAGCAGGCTCCACACGGGGCTCCGTCTCATGACCTGGGACCATGACTGGAAGTGGAAATCAAGAGGTGGATGTTCAACCAAGTGAACCACCCAGATGCCTCTGTGTAATAGCATTAACTTTAATTTCTAATACATAAATGTAACTTGTTTTGTGTAGAGTCCACTGATTGGAGGTAACAAAAATACGATTTTTGTAACACAGATACAGAACCTAATACTGGCCTTTGTATGATACTTTAAGCTCTATTCAATAAATTCAGTGGAATTCTGTAGCCTTTCCTTTTTCATTGGAACTGCTTTTTATTCCGTAAGCGGTCTTTATACTGCTGATCCTAGCATATTCTGCTCTGCCCCCCGGTGGCCTCAGTGCACAACTGTTGCTTCTGCCACGGCTGTTGGAACTGCAAGATTCTGTCTTGCCTCCTGCTGCAGTATGCAGCCCCATAGAGTGGGGCACTGGGAGGAGTCTGCAGTGTGGATGTGAGATGGTTATGGGCTCTAGAGCCAGGCCTCTGGGTTTGAATCCCTACATCACTACCTCCTTGCTGAGTAACCCTGAACAGGTTACATAATTTTCTCATCCGGAAAACAGGTGTAATAATAGTCCCTCTCACAGGGTTGTTGTATTAAATGAGTTTAATACAAGTGCTGAAAACATTGCATGCTGAAAATATTACATGGCACATAGTATCTGTGTTAGCTGTAGTTGTTGTTATTCTGATCTTAACTCTTTAGGTGAGAAATTAAATATGTGTGCTTTATCTAGACATATAAATTACTGTATATTGATTGTGACCTAGAGCTTATTATTTTTTTCTTACTACTGATCTTTTCTAGATTCATTACTTTCTGTTTTATATAGTTTTTAATTTATCTGTACCTCATATTGTAAAATTAAAAGGTAAAAAAAGTCATATTAAAATTTGAAAGTTTAAAGAAGTGGGTGATTATCATATAGACATAACTATAAGGACAATATGAGAAAATGTTTTTATTTTGAAAATGTATTACTAATTATACTTAGTGTTTACCATCCTAATTTTTGAAGTAAACTATAGATTTTATGTTTTGCATACTATAACAAGGTAATTTCTAAGTAAGTTTTTTCTTTGCACTTTTTCCTTTCCTCTTTTTATATATATTGTATGTATATATCCATACCTGTATGTATATACATATATGTATGTATATGTATAGGGGTGTGTGTGTGTATCTTGAACATTATTATGGTACGGTGTTTTTTCCACTCAGTATTGTATTGTGCATATCCCTATTGTTAAATAGTTCAGGATACCATAAATAGCTCATTATGGTTGTAACATTGTTTCCTTCCTTTTTGTTATATATAATACTGTAATGGTCACTTTCATTCACATAGCTGTTTTTTCCTCTCAAATTATGTCTGTAGAATAAATTGCCAAGAGAAAAAATCTTGGTAAAGAGTACATAAATAGTTTTGTGGCTCTTGAAATGTTTTCCCACCTTTTTGTTCAAATTATGCTTTTTAATGCTATCAAATACTGATTTCTGAGAACTTTCTTCCTTAAATCATTGTGCTAGGAACAAAGATGAGAAAGACAGTCTGCTCACTAGGGCCAGAAGAGTTGAATGGAGAGGACACATACAAATAAATGACTTGAGTGAAAGGAGGTGCTAGAAGTGATAACAGTGTGCCGCTTCGACTCTGAAGGAATAACTGGGCTACCTGGGCAGTAGCAGTCTGGAAAAGACTTACTGGATAGAGTAGAACATGAAAATATCTGAATTTGAAACAATTATTTATGTTTATTTTTCTTTCGTGCATATGTTTATTTAGAATTTCCAAAACATATTTCTTGCCTAACTAAATAACTTAATTTCTGCCAACTGCATGATACAATAGAAAGAGCCCATTAGATTTGGACAAACTATTTAATTGTCTGAACTTCAGCTTCCTCACATATAAAATGTGTAAGTGATATTTCCTTTAGAGAGTTGTGAGGGTTGTAGAAAGTATATTATCTCCGGCTTTATTTCAGAAGAGATTTGACATGAAAGAACTAATATATTAATGACATACTTAGCACAGTATCTGGTACATAAGTTAGACTTAATAAGTAGGAGTCACCATTGGTTGTATGATTGTTGTTATTAAGATAAAGTATCTGCCTTTCTATAAGTAGTGCTAAATTTTTGATAGGCTAGTCTACTACCTCCTAGTCAAAACCACTTTCTTAAGCTCCAGTGTAAAGCTAGCTCCCCATTCCTTATGGTGACCCCCCAGACTAGCTTCTTCCCTTCCAACTTTCTTCAGTTCTTACTAGTTGCCAGGTACCATGTTAGGTGTAGGAAGTATGAATATAACTAAGATAATGTCCTTGCCTTCAAGAGTCTTACTGTCTAACGAGGGAAACAGGGTTGTATATGGGTAACTGTACTATGATGAGAGAAGTCAGTGATTCTCAGCCCTGGCTTCTGGGGAACTTTTTAAAAATACCAGTGCTCATGCCCTACTTGAGATAAGTCAGAATTTAATGCAGGTATAAACACTATTTTGTAGGAACCTGTACTCATTCTATAGGAAAAATGAGTCATTTTGATTGGAAAGTGAGTTGGAAAAAGCCTTTAGAATGAAGATAACAATCAGGCCAGTGTCAGGACAGCAACAGCAAGGGCATGGAAACTTGAAAATTGGTGACAGATTTGGGGAATGGCAGCCTTCTCTGGCTATTTTGAAAGGAGTGTGATTTGGGGGAAGGAAATGGTAAGTTAAAAGGCTGGAGTAATAGGTAGGGACCAGCTGTTAAAGTACTTTACCTCTGTTTAAGGAGTATAGACTTTAATATAAAATAAATGAGGTAGACTTCATGAGAGAATGTGATATGATGAAATCTCTGATTTGGAAAAATAACTAGTCCCTAGTTTATAATATCTTCAAAAGCAAATTCTAGATAGATTTAAAGCAATAGAAAACAATAGAGGAAAATATTTCTGTATTTGTGGGGTGGGGAAACCTTTTGCAAACGTGAGATAAGTTCTGCGTCATAAAGGAGAATAGCAAGATTGACAGATTTTACCAAGTATCTATTTAGAACTTCTCTGTAGCTAACTATACTCCAAATAAAGTTGAAAATCCAAAGGCACACTAGGAAGATGTGTTTGCTATCTGAATGACACAGAGCTAATATACCTAATATATAAAGAGCTCTTACAAATCAAGAAATAAAAACAGATGAACATCTCAAAGAGAAAAATAGGCAAAAGATATGAACAGGCAGTTTTCCAAGGGACAAAATACAAGTTGGTTGCTTAACATGTAAAAAGATGCTCATCATTATTCAGCGTAATGCAAAGTCAAATGAGGGTGTGTGTGTTTCTTTTTTTTAACTTTTCAGACTGACACATATGATAAAAAGTGAATGGTACCAAATGTTGACAAAGAAAAAAATGTGGGGAAACAGGCACAGTGATAACATTCTTGGTGGGAGATAAAGGTTGCTTCAGACTTTCTAGGGAGCAGATTAATGGTTATTTATGAACACTTAAAATGTGATTGCTCTTGGGTCCAGTAGCCCCACAGTGAAGAATTATCCCTGGGGAAATACAGTGTTGTAGAATTGTTTATAATGCCAGCGAATAGGAAACGATGTAAATGTTTATCTATTTGGTGTGCATTAAATTTTTTTTGTAAGAATACTTACCAAACTGTTCACATTGCTAGGGGAGGAGGACCGGGAGGGGTAGTTTCTACTTTATGTATTTTGTAATGTTTGGAACTTTTAAGCATCAGGGTGTAACAACACTTTTGTATTTAAAAACAAGCAAACACGCACAACACAAAAAGGCAAAGGAAAGACTGGAGGTCCTGGGTTGCTGGACGAATAGGATAAGGAAAAAGCTGGACCCAGGAGAATCAGAGAGTCCTTTGCCTTGTTCAAGTGTGAGAAATGTTGATGGTCTGCGCGGGAACTGTGGCAGTCAGAAAGAGGAAGACGGCAGATTTGAGAGACATTTTAGAAGAAGCAGGATCTATAAACTTTTTCTACTATGTGGTTATGAAGCTTGAGGAAAGAGCATAGTCAAAGATGCTCTGAAGTTTGTAAATTGTATTATGGGTAAATGATTACAACATTATCAAAAATAGGAAAAACAGGAAAAGGAACATTCCCTGAATAGAAGAAAATGAGTGTCTTAAAGATCCTCACTAATTATTTCAGTGATAAGTTTGTTTGGTTCAGTTAGCTTATCTCTCATTTGTGCTTTCTTGTTAAGGCTTATCTTCTGTAGTCTTTAGTTCTGTTACTTTTTGTTAGGAATTGTTACTAATATTGTAAAATATATAAATAGCAGTTTCTAAGTGTAATTTTTAAACTCTGTTCTTGTTTTATATTTTCAGAGTGCTCATTTGGCCATGATAGATACCCTAATGATGGCTTATACCGTAGAAATGGTCAGTATAGAGAAAGTAATTGCCTGTGCTCAACAGTACTCAGCTTTTTTTCAAGCCACGGATTTGCCCTATGATATTGAGGATGCTGTCATGTACTGGATAAACAAGGTAGGAATATGCTCACTTGAGTAAAAATGAGTCTCCTAACCAGAAAAAGTACAATCTTTAATCATATATTGCCACTCTGCTGTAGATTGCAGGTTTTGTCTGCTCCAAGTTCTTATTCTCAAATATATTTTTTAATGTTTATTCATTTTTGAGAGAGAGAATGTGAGCGGGGGAGGGATGGGAAGGGGGGACAGAGGGTCTGAAGTGGGCTCTGCACTGACAGCTCCAAGCGTGATATGCGGCTCGAACTCATGAACCATGAGATCATGACCTGAGCCGAAGTTGGATGCTCAACTGACTGAGCCACTGAGACACCCCTCTTATGTTGAAATCAACCCCTGATGTGATGGTGTTAGGAAGTGGGGTTCTGGGAGGTGATTAGGTCATAGCCCTCATTAATGGGATTAATGCCCACATGAAAGAGGCCCCAGCAAGCTCCCTTGCTCGTTCTGCCATGTGAGGTCACAGCAAGAAGATGGCCAGGAAGCAGGCCCTCCCCAAACACCAGACCTGCTCGTCCCTTGATCTTGGAATTGCCTGCATCTAGATCTATGAGAAATACATTTCTGTTTATAAGCCACCTATTCTGTGATTATTGCTGTTACAGCCGTCTGAACAGACTAAGGCACACTCCATTGTTGTTTTTGTTTTAAATCAAAATGAAAGCTAAAGTTGTTTAAGTTACTTAAAATTTCCCATTACCTTTTGATTAAAAAATCTGTTAAAATGATGAAAATAGATTTCTGTATATTCTACAATATCTGTAATTACATTTAATAATGATTTAGTTCATATCAGATTATTAGAAAATTTCCAGCACTCAGAGTAGAGTGTTCTATACACTGTGGGTGTTCAGTGAGTATTTTTTGAATCTAATAATGAAGTAATTCCTATTTCCTATTCTCTGATTCTTAGGTTTGCTTGACTGAGTTGCATAAGACTGTATTGATTGTAGATTTCTCTTGGAAATTTTTATGGAACTGTGATTAGTTATTTATGCTCTGAAGATGCTTAAATTGTCAGCTTATTACTCCCTTTGCCAAATTGAGTAGTTAATTCCTCCTGATTTGCATTTGTTTGTAACTATCACTCCAGAAAAAAATGAAACCTTACCCATGAGCAAGACCTGAGCAGATCTAAAAGAAATTGTACCTTCAGGTATCCTTCCTTGAATGCTTGCATAATGAGAAGCTAAATGTAAAAAACTTCATTTATCATCGTTATCAGTATCAAGGTAGAAAGCCCATTTAATACTCTGCTCCTGGAGTTCCTTGATTTCTTCCTCCTTAGCTCTGGACAATCATCAGGATGTAACCTTCACATCTTATTGCAAACATCTCAT